TATTTTATTTTATTTTATTTTATTTTATTTTATTTTATTTTATTTTATTTTATTTTATTTTATTTTGTGTCTCCTCAGGCCGCCACGTAGAGCAAGACATCAGAATGACAGGTGCGGGGTTTAGGGTTTAGGGTTTAGGGTTTAGGGTTTAGGGTTTAGGGTTTAGGGTTTAGGGTTTGAATGCAAGAGCTATACAGCAACTTCTTCTTTGTCTGTGCTGTGTTTTCTATGCAGAGGCTCTAAGGACTGAAGGTAAGATTTGAGGGTTTAGGGTTTAGGGTTTAGGGTTTAGGGTTTAGGGTTTGTTGTGAGACCCAGTAGCAGCACAGATACACCATTTAGGGTTTAGGGTTTAGGGTTTAGGGTTTAGGGTTTAGGTTTTAGGGTTTGTTGTGAGACCCAGTAGCAGCACAGATACATCATCTAGGGTTTAGGGTTTAGGGTTTAGGGTTTAGGGTTTAGGGTTTGGTGTTTGTGTGCAGGTAAAGGAGAAAAGACGAGCGGTGTTTCAGGTGTACATGCAGCTGCTGTATCTGCTGCTGCGTTGATTTCTTTGTCTTTGTCTTTGTTTATATTTGGTATTTAAAAGCCCCAATAAATGCATGCAACAGCAGCAGCAGCGGCAGCAGCAGCAGCAGCAGCAGCAGCAACTGCAGCAGCAGCAGCAGCAGCAACTGCAGCAGCAGCAGCAGCAGCAGCAAGAATTACAGTAGGAGAAAGAACAACAACAACGAATATTGCAGCAGCAACATAAAAAGCAGCAACACTAGCAGCAACAGCAGCAGCAACAGCAGCAGCAGCAGTAGCAGCTGCTGCTGCTGCTGCAGCAGCAGCAGCAGCAGAAAGAATGAAGATTATATAAGTTGCGTTTACTTGCACGCAAATTTGTTTATTATATAAATATATTTTAGTTGTTTAGGATATTTATTTATTTGTGAGGTGTATATACACCCGAAAAAACAACAAATAAAAAACAAAGAAACAACAAAAAAAAACTAACATTCTTTATTTATTATACTTTATTTTATTTCTTTTGTTTTTGTTTTTGTCTTTTTTTTTTATTTCCTCTTTTTAGTTTATAAAATAAAATAAAATAAAATAAAATAAAAATAAAATAAAATAAAATAAAATAAAATAAAATAAAACCACATAGAGAGACAGTTGCGGGGGGTCTCCTCTGCTGCCCCCCACAAATAAATTAATTAAATAATTAAATAAATAAAAAAAAATAATATTTAGTATAAATTAATATATTTATATTTATAAAAAAATAAATATTTTTTATTGAGTTTGTATATATAGAAAGTAATTTATAAATATATATTTTTTGTATTGATCGATTGACTGATACAAAAAAAAGTAAATAAATAAAAATAAATAAACTAATAAATATTTATTATTTATTTGAAATATATTATTTTATTTATTTATTTTAATTAAATAAATTAAATTTATTTATTTATTTATTTATTTATTTATTTATTTATTTATTTATATTAATTTAGTTTTATAAGAAACAGATCGACACAGTGATCGTTGGGTGCTCAGCTGTATATTTGTGTGCATTTTTTTTTTTGCATAAAGATTGAAATTACTAAATAAAATAAAAATAAAATAAAAATAAATTTAATAATTAAATATATTCAAAAAAATAAATTAAAATAAACTTTTTCTCTGCTGCTGCAGGCTGCACCGCTCAGGTGTATAGGCAGCTCGGGGGGCGGGCGGGCGGGGGTTGCTGCTGCAGCGGTAGCTGGGGTGTATATGCAGCTCAAATCTATGAAACATTTGTATAAAAAAGAGGAAAAAAAGAAAAATAATTTAAATTAAATAAGAT